AGAATGCTATGATTCTTTGGCAATCACTTGCCAAGACAGCCAAGATTTTCTGTAAGATTTAACCAAGATTCTTCAAGACTTTTCAAAGATATCAAAGGTTGATGGACTTGGGTTAGAATGCTATGATCTGCTCAGCCCACATGGACAGTACCCGAATAGAAACTCTACTTTAAAATCCAGATGACTCAGGTAGAATTTCAAGATGACTGTTCCTGAGCTCCTTCTTTGTTTTTTTTTCGATCCTAGTTGATTATGATATGCTTGGACTAGCCTTTTGAGTTTGGTTGAATTAGGTCTCATTTCATCCAGATTTTCAAAAGGGATAAAACATCAAAAATATGTGGCCAACATTTTTCAGTTGGATGGAAATTCAAGTGTCTAACGAATCATATATTGGCAGACAAAAATAAACTCGGATGAAGTCTTTTTACAGGTTCTTTTGTTCAGAAAAAATTCGTCCAGGCCTATTTGAGTGGTTTAACCTACTCCTAACACGAAAGCAAAAAAAAACGAATGAACACTTGTAAGACAGTCTTGACTAAGCAATTTAAGAGGACAAAAAGATTTAATCATATTTCATTGATCAGATTTATATCACAATACATCAAAGTTGATCACAATATCGGTCACGCAAGCACATCAAAGAGTCGAATATTTGCTTGACTCACATATCCATTCTTGTATTGAAACTAAAAAAAACAGCAGTAATTTTGATTAAAATATGACACCATGTTTGAAAAAAAAGAAGCAAAAAAAAAGTTGACGCAATAAGCAAACCTACAGTTTTCTGTATCCGATTAACATTCCTCTCTTTCTACAAAATGTTTGCATATGTATATCATGTCCCATCGGGTTCCATAGACTCCTTTCTGACAACTTCCTCCAAATACTACATCCACGTGGCCTCCTTTTCGTTTCCATGTTTGATCAAGAGCTCCCTCTTTCCCATTTTAGAATTTCAACTGCGGCCATAATAATATTTTGAAAAGCTTAAGACAATCTTCAGAGTAACACTCTTTTACAATTATAAATTTCTGCCTTTTCGGATAGTAATTAAGAAAAATATTTAAAAACTAGATCTACTTCACAAAGGCATGCAAAAAATCAGATTTGGATTTTAAAAAAGCTTGAAACGTTTTAAACATGTTTTAAGCAAAAAAATTTCTACCTTTAGAAAATTGTGCACTTCCATGCACGTGTTTCATCAAAGGCTGATTTTTCGAAGTCAAATTTGCAAATCTTCGTGTTTTCTTTTCAAATACACTCTGTTGATACACTCTGCCGATCTTCGAGAAATTCACGGCTCTTTAATCCTCCGCCCCCCCCCACCCCCCCCCCCCACCCGCAAAATTTTACAAGTAACATCTTTTTTCACATTGTTTGATATTGTTATGAAAATTGACATAAGGACTAATTAGATTATGACAAACATATTTGGACTTCATATTTAAAAATTCACTCTTTTTGTGCCTCTACTTCGGAAATTCAATTATCAAGATTGGCATTTGGTTCTCAAAAAAATCAACTAGTTTGGTTTGCTGAGGCCAAAGAAGTACCCTTTCCAAAACTGACATCTCTGCAATTAGTGTATTGTAGACACTAAATACATACGTCTCAAGAATTTACTCAGTTAAATTAGTGCTTACTTACATTAGCTTACATTAGCTCCGTCCACTGAACGAACGGACTCGAGGGTCAATGCACGAAACGAAGCGAGCGAGCGGGTGATGATAGAGAAACCGGAGGGGGAGCAGAATGAGGCGAGTAAAAAGGCGGAAACGGGAAAATGGAACGAGAACGAAGGCGACATACCGGAGGAAGCTCCGGAAGCAATGCCGGCGGCGGGCGGGAAGAAAAAAAGCGGACGGCGAAACAACGACTGGTCTCTTATTCGAGCCAAGTCTCGGAAAGTGACACGGCATCTAGAAAATCAAGCAGGAAAAGAACGGCGGTGACGAAGATGGGCGGGGTCATGATTGACCACATAACACGAGGAGTCGTTAAAGAAAAAGAAGATGAGTAAGAGGAACAATCAGAGTACGTTAAAACTTCAGCAGTGAACGAAAACTTAGCCGGTTCTCAATAGTGTCTTAAGCTCAGCGACTTACGCTTTCTACGTTCGGCCGGTCCGAGCTAAGCTTTATGTTTAAAAACTTTTCCTTTGAAAACTTAACTTTATCCAAACCATGACCAGTGCAGTTTATTTATTGTTCCGACTTTTGATGCGAAAGTAACGGAATATTTGGGCTCGAGGTGGGTTTTTTTTTCTTCAGACAAATTTCGACTTTTTAACTAGCCATTTTTGACAGAATTCTTTTTTCGAAAAGTTTTGTTGCCCTGAGATTAAATTTGAATGGATATTTTACCTGTGATCATTTTTCGCAAAGTTATGAGGGTTTAAAGATTGCCATTTTGGCCATTTTGACCAATTTGGGACAATTAACGCGCAATATAATTCGCGCTATTAACGCGTAAGCGGAGATTTAATCCGTCTTATAAATCGTTCCAAATTGGCTGAAAGAAAGATATTTACCATAATTGATTTGTTACAATGAGCGAAATCCATTCTTTTGTACTTTATATGGCGTGTGGGGGGATGGTTTCATTTTAAAAAATTCAAATTTTAGAGAAAAAAAATTCATTTTGTTTTATTACATTTAATTTTTTAATGTTATTACTGCTCCATAAACGTTAAAAGGCAGTCGGAACATTCAGGGCTTCGCCCTGATACGAGCAGTCTTGTTTATTTTACAAGAGGGTATGTCATAGATAAATCAGTTATCTAAGTCTATTTATTTCATGATAGTTCCTTTTGTCAATCATTTCATTTCACTTCTACAGTAGACGCCTTGGCAGGTGCTTGGCCTTCGGATTGTTTGACACCTTCTGATTTCACCTAAAACATTGTCTCGTTTGATCTTACTTAACTCAGTTGTCTATTTATCTATTCTCTTAATTCAAGTATCGAATTAGCATTTTCAACAGACTTTCGAAGAAAGTGAGGAATACATGCTCGGGGTAGTCTTTTTCACCAAACCGGTTTCCAAAAGAGTATTTGCTCACTCAAGGGATTGCTCTCAAGACCCATCCAAACTGAATTGTAGCAATAACTAATTGATCTTATTAATTCCATGCGCGACCCAAATTTTAAAACTTGTAATTTGGTGTTATCAGCCTTAATTTCATCTTTTATCAAATTTCATTTTCCAAAAACTATTCGAGACTAGTTAGTGCAGTGCAGTGATAACATTCAAGGCTTTGCCCTGATGCGGGCAGTCTTGGTCATTAAGGCTTCCATCGCTATAAAACTTCACTTGTAAAACGGGGAAACTATTATATAAAAACTATTAAAAACATCTAAATTTCCAACCATCCAAGAACTGAACCCAATTAAGTCGCAAAAGTTTATGACATGCAAATTTTAGAAATATAATTGCATCAAACAAAGCAGCTACTGTTTTACGTGATATATTATAAGAAAACGTTGAAAAACGTAAGGGTATCCATATGCTTTGCAAACAGCTCAAAACAAACAGCTCAAACTAGAGCCGAATTTTCAATTGAAAGTTATTTTTTTGCCAAAATATTTCCATTTTTGTCAATGTAGGTCTAGAATGCAACTGACTGCAGTAATTGCATAAGTCTCAGGTAAATTATTAGACGTACGAACTAGAAACGAATAGCTAACACGGATATATTAAAAACTTTTTTGCCACTGAAATATATTTCCTATTCTCCGTAATTGAAAAAGTTCTCAGATTTATGTTAACTAGCAGAAAGCTCTATTTTGTACTACTATGCAGCAATATCATCTTTGCTCCCCTGCAATGTGGTTGAAATCTGAAATGCATTGAGATAAACAAATATAAATAAAACTTTCTGAGGTTGCTCAGAAAAAATTATCAACAGTCAGACCAGATCAATTTTCTAAAACGTGTTCTCAGAAAATGCGGATACGCGTCCCGCAGAAAAAAACATGCGTTGCGCAGAAAAAAAAAATTACATCCGTAATAAGATACTATGCTATAAGTAATTTGAACACCCTCCAAGAGTAGATAGTGGTAGAAAGTGACAAATAGTAGTATTTAAAAATTCGTAGAGTGCAACTATTTGCCCAAATTGACTCAAAATTAGCAACAGAGTTCATCAATGGAAGTGGTCCAATTCTTCAAGTGGAGTTGAAGCGCATAGGGCACTGAGACCTATCAAAATCTAGTTCTAGACCTATCAAAATCTAGTTCTAGACCTATCAAAATCTATGAGTACAAGGATCACAGAGGATTTTAACATCAGGCTTGTTTTTGATCTGTTCTGTTCTGTACGTGGGACGAGTCCAAGTTCCTGAATTTTACGATCAAGTGTATTAAGAATCTTGAAAGCTTGTGTTTGATCCCCCATAATAATTGAAAACGTCTAATTGTTAGTTGGTGCAAAATATCGTCTCGTGCGAATCGTCGCCTGTTCAAAAAGTGCAAATTGTCGCTTTAGACCAATTGTCATTTTTGATGAGTTGTTGCCTCACAAGTTTTTTTTTATTTTAACCACCTCAAGGAAAAGTCGTAGAGGCTCAAGTGTGGCATCATAATTTTGAAGCCTTATTAGTCGTAGTTTGGATCGTTTTTTTTTTCAAAAGTCTCAGAGTCTTGAAAAACTTGTCTGAGTATTTTCGATTTTCATACTAAATGCTACATACTACTTCTCATTTTCAATTCTACTCAGCCAATAGTTACGCTATATATTAAAGTAAAGTTTCTTTCAATTATGCTTACCGCTCTTCCTGGCTTTTTCGCCTATATCAACAATCGAGTGTTCTAGAAAAAAAATTAACAGGCAAGTTAGATACAAAATTTTCGAAAATAATATTTGAACTTTCCCGTCGATTTTAGAAAATAATCTATATTTATGAACTTTTTTCTTAAAACAGTTTGGTGGAAACATTCTGCGCTACTTGCAGGGCAACCGGTTCTCCTTGTTTGAAATTGTTGTTGTTTGTTTTTCAGGGGACCCTGTTGCAGTTAATGTGACTATGAACATAGACAGCATTGGACCCATATCAGAAGTGAACATGGTAAGACTCCCTTCAATGTTAATATATACATGCACTTGCCAGTCGAGGAAGGGGTCACACTGGTGGAATACCAAATGAACATGCAAACACAGTTAAGCGATTGCAGTCCAAGCTAACCCTTCCAAACAGAACTTGGAACAAGTTTCTTTGAACAGGCGAGAAAATTTTTCTGAGCTTTCGGGTATTCAGTCAATTTTCTTGCTATTTTTTTCCAGTTTCTAGCAATATTGTAGATTTTACTTCATACAATCTGAGATGTTGAGAATCTCTTGCATAATTTCCAGTACCACTGTATCAATTGTTCTGCGCTTGTCATCAAAAAATTCAGACACATTTGACAGAATAATGGCCCCAAAATGGTAGCTTGAAGTTTATTAAAAATCTGTATTGCGTCAGATGCAAATTAATATTTGTTTGTCACTTCTGTCTGCTCTGCTGGAAATGAATTCAATCTTTTTGAGCCGTAAAAGCAATTAGCAGGCCTGGATTGCTGGATGTTTTTTTATGAAAAAAGCGGTCTCACAAAAAACTAAGTCGGTCTGAAGTGGACAGGAAATTTGGAGGGCGATCTACTTCTTAGCTGCGATGAATTTGGTTTCAACAAATTAGCCACGCGTCAATATTAATAATTTCTCTGCGCTGATTTTGTTCTGTCAGATCATGCTTAATTAATCTGACTTTTGAAGAAAGTGACGGAATATTTGCGTTTTTTTTGTCGCAATGCAAACTTTGACTTTTGAGCAATCTGTTTTGTTTGGCACATTTTTTGACCATCTGGAGGATATTGATGTCCAAAGCACAGAATAATTAAGAAAAGTCACCAGTGACCCTATTTTTATAAATATTGGGTGTGGAATGTAGGAAAATACTGACCACTACCGAGTTGACCAAAAGACGCCATCTCAGAATATTGTAAGGTATAAGATTTTCTCAAAAAAAAACGATTTGCATTTTTTTTAAATGTGTTAAAAGTACAATACAGAAACGTCATACAATTTCACTATGAGCCAAATGAGATGACCGAAGGAAGTTCAACTTGCACGCCCACATGTTACAAACAGCTATTAGTTGATGAATTATGATGTTTTTTTTTGAAACATATCTACGGCCCACACAAAACTCTTCAAAAGCTGTATTACAAAATTCATCCACATTCATCTTTATTTGAGGAAAAATAATTTTCACCCGCTAAATATGAACAAGACTGCTCGTATCAGGGCGAAGCCCTGAATGTTCCGACTGCTTTTGAAGGTTTATGGAGCAGCAGTAATAACATAAAAACATTATATGAAATAAAATAAAAATGAAATAAAAAAAAAATTTTCCTAAAATTTGAAATTTTTAATGAAAATCATCCCCCCACACGCCATATAAAGTACAAACAGATAAATTTCGTTCCTTGTAACACATCAATTATGGCAAATAAGCTTCGTTCAACCATTTTGGAACGATTTATAAGACGGATTAAATCTCCGCTTACGCGTTAATAGCGCGAATTATATCGCGCGTTAATTGTCCCAAATTGGTCAAAATGGCAATCTTTAAACCCTCATAACTTTACGAAAAATGATTACAGGTGAAATATCTTTTCAAATTTAAGCTCAGGACAACAATACCTTTTGAATGATAAAAAAAAATTCTGTCAAAAATGGCTAGTTAAAAAGTCGAAATTTGTCTGAAGAAAAAAAAACCCACCCCGAGCACAAATATTCCGTTACTTTCGTATCGAAAGTCGGAACAATAACTAAGACAATTGTTGAAACAAGAGTCAAAATTATACTCTAGGAATTTTAATGATGAACAAAATGAAATTACGGAATGAAGGATCTTTCAATTGTTTTTGTTTTTTGTCTGGACAAGTTGCGCTCTTAGATTTTTTCTACAACAAAACTTGTAAAAAGAGAATATTGTAGAAATAACAATGCGAAGTTCTATGATAAAACTGATCTTTACAAGATTGTCAATCCGGGTTTTAATTGAAATTAGTTGTATTTATGCCAATTTGATTTAAAGCCCAGGTTGAACATCTTGTAAAAGTTACGCTTGTCATAGAACTTTGCATTGATATTTTACCAGGGGCGGATTTAGGGGGGGCGGGGGTTGCGGACGCCTTTTTTCAGGAATTTGACCCCCTGCCGACCCAAAGGGTTCCCCCTTTGGTACTTTTTAAGAAATCCATTTTTGGTCCACCGACCCTAAAATTTTTCTAAAGGCGCCTTTGGCGCCAATATATTCTATTTATGAGGGGGGAGCGCGCGCCGAAAAAACGCAATTTTTTGGTCAAAATTTTCCAAAAAGTGCCTATAAAGACCTTTTTTGGTTTGTTTTTTCAAATTTTCGCCTGCGGCGCAGAAAATGTTGCCAAAAAAGGGACTAAACCATGCTTAGGGAGAGCTCAAAAATCAATTCGGTCGACCTAAAAAAAAAATGTCGACAAAATTTTCGAAATTTTTTTTGAAAAACCGTCCCCCCCCCCTCGAGAAAATCCTAGATCCGCCCCCTGTATTTTACAATATTCCTTTTTTACAACTTTTGTTCTAGATAAGATCTTTTTTGTCCAATTAAAGCGTTGTTGTCTGATTAATTTTCCGAAACATGAAACCAGCACAAATTTAACCAGCACAAAATAAATCACCATGTACATTACATAGCGTGTGGGCGATAAATTTATAAATTAAAATTTAACAAAATGTTATTTTAGAGAAAAAAAACTGCTAAATTTTGAACAAATGTAGAGCAAAACTTTTCCACCGGCAATAATGGGTGGTCGGAAACTGCAAAGTTTTGCCCTGACGAGCAGTTTTGCAATATTTTAGTTGTTACTAGTACTTAAAATGTTTGTAAAGGTTTCCGGCATCTAAGAAACGTGAAAAAGAAAATCAATTATAATGGATTTTTGTGGTTTGAAAAGTTAAGAATATGATCGATACCCATGTGGCCCTCAAACAAAAAATTAAATTATATATAAAAAATTATAAATAAGAAATTATTTATATTCCATTTGAAATCAATTAAAATGGATTTTTATTTCCACTGTAATTTTGTTTCGCGTAGTATAAAAATTTGCAAAAATTTATTCGTTTCTCAAATAGCAACGCAAAAAGTTTGCAAAACGAGTTTACGGTCTACTCGATTTCTAAACCTAAGCTTTCTCAAACTGCATAACAACTCCCCGCCCAACAAACCCCCAGCCCCCACGGCGTCCCCAAATTTTTGCCCCTTTGCCACTTATCCCTGCCACCCTCTCCACCAGAACAACCCCCCACATTGTAATTCTTGGCCCCAACTTCCCCCTCTGAGTTTCTAAATAAAGAAAGAAAATGATTGAAAGCAACAAAGTAAAAAATGATTGAGTAACATAAAATAAGTAACAAAAATCGAACTTGCGCAGAAAGGAAGTTGAATTTGAACAACAGGTAACCAACTTTAGTTTAAAACGTGCAAACTACTTTATGTGCGCTGAGTTTGCATCTCATTAAAGTGGAAAAAAATCGATTGCAAGGGAGTTTCATTGTCATTATCTATAAAAAAAATCATCGATTATAATTTATCTGCTATAGATTTGAATGCTTTATTGAATATTAGCAATATGATCCATTTTTATTTGATTATAATCAATTATTTTTTCACTTTTTAAGAGCATATAACTCAATTTTAATCAACTTTTAACCATTTAAATCCATTACGGGGTAAAACTTGATTTTGTTTTGTTTGTTTTAAAATTATATCGAATTAACGGAAAAAAAACAAGACCTTATAAATTTAATCACGTCTAAAAGCCATAATAAGTTAATATAAAAGCAAAACTCGATCACTCTCCCGCGTTTTCAATAAAATTTTACCGCTATTTTTATGGCAACTTAGTTTAACTTCAAATGATCATTGGCCTTTGGCATTGGTTTTATAGAATCCTGTTCAAAACCCGCCCCCTCCCCAGAAGTTACCAGCACCCATTAAACAATTTTCTCCCTTATAAAGTAATAATTAAACGGTTAAACTCTTTATGTTTTTTTTAGCTTGAAAACGAGTCTCCCCAGCTTCTTTGCAGTAGAAAACGAGAGGGGAAATTGTTAGCAAAATCTTCACTTCCGGTTGAATATTTTAGAACTTCCGTCTGGACATATCGTTCCGGCAGTACTGGAAAGACGGACGGCTCTCTTTCAACTACAGTGAGCCAGTGACTGTGAACAGCCAGTTCCTGGATGAGATCTGGCAGCCGGACACCTACTTCCCGGACAGCTACGAGAGCCAGAGACAGACTGTGATGGTGCCGAACATACTACTCAGAATACACCCAGACGGACTAGTGCTGTACAGCGCCAGGTACAACACACACACACACACACACACATACGCAGACACACACGCAGACACACACGTGTACGACAAGCATGGAAAAACACACACATACACACATACACACACACAGACACACACACACACACACACACACACACACACACACACACACACGCAGACACACATACACACGGACCAACACGTATACAAACAAGCATGCAAAAACAGACACATGCGCTAACATACACCACGCACACGCACGCACACAAACATACGAACAAAAACACCCGCACTCACAAGCAAACATAAACACACGCAAACACAAATACACACACACGCAGACACAACACACACACACACACACACACATACATACATACACACACACCAAAAACACCCGCGCGCACGCACACACACACACATACACACACACATACACACACACACACACACACAGACACGCAGACAAACATAAACACATTATACAAAAATTCACGCACACAAACATACATACACACACACGTATACAAACAAGCATACAAAAACACACACATGTGCTAACATACACCACGTAAACGCACACAAACATACGAACAAAAACACCCGAACTCACAAGCAAACATAAACACACGCAAATACAAATACACACACACGCAGACACAACACACACACACACACACACACATACATACATACACACACACCAAAAACACCCGCGCGCACGCACACACACATAGACACACACATACACACACACACACACACACAGACACGCAGACAAACATAAACACATTATACAAAAATTCACGCACACAAACATACATACACACACACACGTATACAAACAAGCATGCAAAAACACACACATGTGCTAACATACACCACGTACACGCACACAAACATACGAACAAAAACACCCGCACTCACAAGCAAACATAAACACACGCAAACACAAATACACACACACGCAGACACAACACACACACATACATACATACACACACACCAAAAACACCCGCGCGCACGCACACACACACACACATAGACACACACATACACACACACACACAGACACGCAGACACACATAAACACATTATACAAAAATTCACGCACAAAAACATACATACACACACACGTATACAAACAAGCATGCAAAAACACACACATGTGCTAACATACACCACGTACACGCACACAAACATACGAACAAAAACACCCGCACTCACAAGCAAACATAAAGACACGCAAACACAAATACACACACACGCAGACACGAAAAACACACACACATACATACATACACACACACCAAAAACACCCGCGCACACGCACACACACACATATAGACACACACATACACACACACACAGACACGCAGACACACATAAACACATTATACAAAAATTCACGCACACAAACATTCATACACACACACGTATACAAACAAGCATGCAAAAACACACACATGTGCTAACATACACCACGTACACGCACACAAACATACGAACAAAAACACCCGCACTCACAAGCAAACATAAACACACGCAAACACAAATACACACACTTGCAGACACAACACCCACACACATACATACATACACACAAACCAAAAACACCCGCGCGCACGCACACACACACACATAGACACACACAGACACGCAGACACACATAAACACATTATACAAAAATTCACGCACACAAACATACATACACACACACGTATACAAACAAGCATGCAAAAACACACACATGTGCTAACATACACCACGTACACGCACACAAACATACGAACAAAAACACCCGAACTCACAAGCAAACATAAAGACACGCAAACACAAATACACACACACGCAGACACAACAAACACACACACACACATACATACATACATACACACACACCAAAAACACCCGCGCGCACGCACACACACACACACATAGACACACACATACACACACACACACACACACACACAGACGCAGACACACATAAACACATTATACAAAATTTCACGCACACAAACATACATACACACACACGTATACAAACAAGCATACAAAAACACACACATGTGCTAACATACACCACGTACACGCACACAAACATACGAACAAAAACACCCGCACTCACAAGCAAACATAAACACACGCAAACACAAATACACACACACGCAGACACAACACACACACACACATACATACATACATACACACACACCAAAAACACCCACGCGCACGCACACACACACACATAGACACACACATACACACACATACACAGACACGCAGACACACATAAACACATTATACAAAAATTCATGCACACAAACATACATACACACACACATATACAAACAAGCATGCAAAAACACACACATTTGCTAACATACACCACGTACACGCACACAAACATACGAACAAAAACACCCGCACTCACAAGCAAACATAAACACACGCAAACACAAATATACACACACGCAGACACAACACACACACACATACATACATACACACACCAAAAACACCCGCGCGCACGCACACACACACATCGACACACACATACACACACACACACAGACACGCAGACACACATAAACACATTATACAAAAATTCACGCACACAAACATAAATACACACACACGTATACAAACAAGCATGCAAAAACACACACATGTGCTAACATACACCACGTACACGGACACAAACATACGAACAAAAACACCCGCACTCACAAGCAAACGTAAAGACACGCAAACACAAATACACACACATGCAGACACAACAAACACACACACACACACACATACATACATACACACACACCAAAAACACCCGCGCGCACGCACACACACACACATAGACACACACATACACACACACACACACACACAGACACGCAGACACACATAAACACATTATACAAAAATTCACGCACACAAACATACATACACACACACGTATACAAACAAGCATGCAAAAACACACACATGTGCTAACATACACCACGTACACGCACACAAACATACGAACAAAAATACCCGCACTCACAAGCAAACATAAACACACGCAAACACAAATACACACACACGCAGACACAACACACATACATACATACATACACACACACACCAAAAACACCCGCGCGCACGCACACACACACACATAGACACACACATACACACACACACACACACAGACACGCAGACACACATAAACACATTATACAAAAATTCACGCACACAAACATATATACACACACACGTATACAAACAAGCATGCAAAAACACACACATGTGCTAACATACACCACGTACACGCACACAAACATACGAACAAAAACACCCGCACTCACAAGCAAACATAAACACACGCAAACACAAATACACACACACGCAGACACAACACACACACACACAGACACACACACATACATACATACACACACACCAAAAACACCCGCGCGCACGCACACACACATAGACACACACATACACACACACACACAGATACGCAGATACACATAAACACATTATACAAAAATTCACGCACACAAACATACATACACCCACACGTATACAAACAAGCATGCAAAAACACACATATGCGCTAACATACACACAAACACACAAAATCCAAAACCACACGTACAAACTCACACACATACACACACACAAACACACTCTCACAGGGACACAAAAAGGCCCACACTCACACCAAAAACATAAACACACGCACACACAAAATCACGCACGCACACCCCAAAAACAAACACACACACACGCACAAAAGCAAAAACACACACGCACACGAGTCACAAACACGCACATGCATGTATATCAAAAATACACAAACAGACACATACAAAAAACGTTCACACACACACACACACACACACACAAAAGCACACACACACACCAAAGCAAAAACACACGTACATGTTCAACAGCAGAAACTCACTCACGCACTTTCTTTTACACATACACACACAAACAAACACACGCACACACACAAACACGCGCACACACCAACAACACCCGCAAACAGACACACACACGCACACACAAAAGCGCGCATACGCCCAGATATGCACACACAAACCTCAAAAATAACAGCAAACACTCACGCACACGCAAACACACACACAAATCCACAAAAACAAGTACACACACAAACAAATATACACACACGCACACAAGCACACAAAAACGCACTCACCTCACACAGCACAGAAAACTGCGCGCGCGCAATCACACATAAACGATAAGCAAACGCACGCACACACAAACACAGACACTGCAAAAACACACGCACAAACGCACACACATGCACTCACACACACATATACACACACACGCACACGGACACAAAAAAGCCCACACTCACACTAAAAACATATGGACAGACGCACACATAAAAACACGCCCACACACATACCAAAAACACGTACAAACACGCAAATACAACAACATGCACACACAAAAAAAACACAAAAAACTCACACACACGCGCACACACACAGGCACACATATACACGAGCACACACAGGCACACACCAGAAACTCACTCAAACACTCACACACATACACACACAATCACACACAAAAACATACACACACACACCAATAAACACGCGAACATGCACACACGAAAACACGCAAACACACCAACAAAACTAGCAAAAAGACACACACTCACTCGCACACACACACAAGCACACCCGCACGCACTTACACCTACACGCACCAATTATCCACACACCAAAAGCACACACACACACACACGCACTCGCATACACATACAGGCATACACAGACGCACACACAGGCTCACACTCGCTCACGCAAAAAGACACAGGCCTACACTTACGCACACACATAAACACATACACACAAACAGACACACAAACACACACACACAAATATACATATGCACAGACGCACACACGAACACAGTCACACACAAACGCGCCAACACTCACACCAAAATTACGAAAATAAACACATACACAAAAGCACATACAGATAAAAAAGCAAACAAACACAAACCGACACACGTTTTCACATCATGCGCACACACAACAAAAATACATACACCCGCGCACATATAAAAACATTCACACGCACAAACACACAAAACACACAAACACGCAAAAATAAACACACAAAAAACACACACAGACGCACACACGCACCCATGCACGCACGTACATGAGCCCACAAACACACAAACACATCGGAAACTCACGCACATACTCACATACACACAAACACTCACACAAACATACATGGACACTCAAAGTAACACGGGCCTCCACACACACACAAACACGCACTCACACACCAGCAACACCCGCAAACACACACACACATGTAAGCACACTTGCACGCCCACGTCTACACATGCAGATCCGCACCCACACACACACACACAACTACCCAAACACCAAAAACCCTTAAAGACACACACACGCACACACATACTTACACACGCAACACACACTCACACACAAACAGACACACAAAACACAC